CCTTTCCTGGAACTCACTTGGTAGCCCAGGCTGGCCTCGAACTCACAGAGATCCGCCTGCCTCTGCCTCCCGCGTGCTGGGATTAAAGGCGTGCGCCACCACCGCCCGGCCGAAATGTGATTTTCATTGTATGTTAATAAAGAAAGTTGCCCGGGGGTCAGAGCTATTAGAGCCATGGAAAGAGCGTGGAGGTGGTGCCACACGCCTTTAATCCCATAGATCTCTGTGTGTTCAGGGATACAGCCAGCATTGGAGACATATGCCTTTAAGACCTCGAGAGCTGTACTTACAGGCCATGACGAGGCAGTCATGTGTTTGGGTTTATAACCAATGAGAAGGCAGAACAGAAAGACTATTTAAAGACATACACACAGGAAGTAGGTCTCTTTTTCTGAGAGTTAGGAGCACTGCAGGAAGAAGGGTAAGATTTTAGCTCTGAGCTCTGACCTCTTGGCTTTTTCTTTTATATTGGTTCTGTTTTTCTTATTTAATAAGACAATTGGATACATCTACAGGCCAGACTGGTCTACCCAGGGAACTCCAAGCCAGCCAGGGATACACTGTGAGATTCTGCCTCAAAAGAAAAAAAAAGTAGCCAGCAGTGGTGGCTCAAGCCTTTATAGACTAAATCAGAAAAATCTTAGACCTGAAGAACATTGTCACTAACATTGCCAGGAACAAAATCAACATATAAAAACCAGTACATTTCTACATACCAATAATAAAATTTTAGAATGAAATTAGGAAAAATTTTTAATTCAAAATAGCTTCCCAAAAATGTGATATATTTTGGGCTAAGTATGTAGCTCAGTTGGTAGAATGTTTGCCCTACCATGCAGAAAATTCTCCACTTTGAAATAAGGAAGTAGAAATAGGATAATCAGCAGTTCAAAGTTATCCTCAGCTACATATATGTAAGACCAGCCTCAAGGCTAAATAAGATCATGTCTCAATATAATAAACTACCTAGAAATAAATTTAACCAAGAATGTGAAAGACCTCTACAATGAAAAATTTAAAACACTGAAAAAAGACACTAGATATTGGAAAGACCCTCCATGCTTCTGGATTGGCAGAATTAGTATTGTGAAAATGACTATATTATCAAAAGTAATGCAATGCAATCCTCACCAAAAAATCTAATGATATTCTTCACAGACTTAGATAACGCTAAATTTCATCAGAAACGAAGACTACAAATGGCCACTGTCTAAACAACACTGCTAGTAGTATCATAATGCTTGATGTCTAATTATACTGTAGAGCCATAGTAACAAAAATAACAAAGTGGGGCTGGGAGAGATGGCAGAGTTAAAAGCATTGGCTTCCCTTCCAGAGTACCCAGGTTCAATCCCCAGCACCCATATGAAGGGTCACAACTCTGTGACTCTAGTTCGTAAGGACCTTGGTCTACTGTGGGAGTCCACAGTGATTCCAGCTTGTGGTTTGATTCCATCTTGACTTAAGGTCAGAGAGTTCAAGCTTATTTTTGCTCCTTGACGTGGTTACTAGATGTTTTGCTCCTCAAGGCCAAATAACAGGATAATTGACCAAAGGCATGGTTATTAGATGTTTTGAGAATTAAGGAGATATTTATGCTTGCTTGTTCCTTGAACCATGGTAAGAAAGTCTTTTGCTCCCCTTGCTTTGGATAAAAAAAGGCTATAAGAAATAAATTCAGGGTTGCTTCAGTATTCACTGAGAGCCCTCCTGATTCTATCTTCCGTCTCTTGTCTCTTTCCTTCAGAATCTTCACTCCCCTATTCAGGTGCTGTTCCTCAGTTGGTCTCAACAGGTGGCGCTGGAACAAGGGACCGGGAGTTAATGAATGCAAGCAAGTGAATGGAGCACTCGGGTATTATTCAAGTGGAAGTTCGGTGAATAACTCGGGAGTAAAATTGTAAATATGGGGCAAGGTAATAGTAGACAGCAGTTTATACATTTGCTTAAAGATATTTTAAAAGGGCTGGAGAGATGGCTCAGTGGTTAAGAGCACAGACTGTTCTTCCAAAGGTCCTGAGTTCAATTCCCAGCAACCACATGGTGGCTTACAACCATCTGTAATGAGATCTGCTGCCCTCTTCTGGCCTGCAGGGACACATGCAGACAGAACACTGTACACATAATAAATAAATATTAAAAAAAAAAAAAAGATAATTTAAAAACCAGAGGAGCTAAGGTACGGCAGTAGCACATACAGAAATTTTTAAAGTTTGTAGATCAGGTGTACCCGTGGTTTCCCAAGCACAGGATCTTGGACACAGATACGTGGGGGAGAATTGGAGTGCAAATCCAACAGCATTATGACGAGCATGGGCCTGGAAAGGTCCCAGTGGATGCTCTTAGTCTGTGGGCACTTATCTGGGACAGTTTGGATTTGCACCCTGAACGGCAGAAGGTATTTCCTCCTGAAACAATTAAAAGTGAAACAAAACCCTCCGCACCACCAGAGGAGCCGCTAGATGCAGAGGCCTTTACAAAAGTGTTTGATGATGACCAGTTTAATCCTGGTGATGGAGCTGAGCTTGAAGAAGAAGCTGCTAAGTACCATAATGAGGAGTTTTCACCTCCCCCGCTTCTGACCATGAATGTTGAGAAGCAGAAACCTTGGGATGAGACTAAGGAGGAGCTGAAGGGCTTGAGAGACTTAGTAGTTTCCCTTTCACAAAAATTGGAGGCTCTTCAGGTCTCCTCTTCTGAGAAGGGCAGTCCTCTTCCTACTGCAGTGGCTGGATTAGATCCACCTGGGAGGCCGTCTATCAGCGTGGAAAAATTGCCTATGGTTGCTGTGGTACAAAGGCCTCCTGGAGCATGGCAAACCCTCACCGTTAGTCATGCGTCTCCCCTGCAAGCCAGTGTTAGAGAAGCAGCTAGCAGAGGGAAAGATGTGCAAGGATTTCAAATGTTCCCAGTGATTGAACAGCAAGATGAGCAGGGCAATATAGTGTGGGTGCACGCACCAATTCCATTTAAACAACTCAAGGAATTAAAAACATCATACTCTCAATATGGGCCCACAGCACCCTTTACACCAAATCTGCTAGCAAACATGGCTGTAGAAGCCTTGCCTCCTGGGAATTGGAAACAGATGGCCAGAGCTTGCCTGTCAGGAGAGGATTATCTGTTGTGGAAAACTGAATTTGTGGAACAATGTCAAGCTACAGCTGAAATAAATCGGGCCCAACAAATTCCCATTACTTTTCATATGCTTGCTGGAAAAGGCATTTATCGGGAGACAGGTCAACAGTTAAATTTTGATGTGGCAGTATATGTCCAGGTTAATGCCTCTGCCAAAAAAGCATGGAATAAGCTTCCATTTTCTGGAAGGCAGACTGAGGACTGTCAAAAACAAGGCAAGGACCTGATGAATTATTTCAGGACTTTGTCTCTAGGCTAATTGTAGCTAGAGTTTTCCTGCCTTGCCCACAGTCAGGACAAATCTCTGTCACCCTTTTAGAAAGAAGGGCAACATCTCTGATTATATTCAACTTTGCTCAGATATTGGGCCTTCATATACTTGGGGGTTAGCTATAGCTGCTGCATTACAGGGAAAAACAGTTAAGGATGTTCTCTTCCAACAAAGAAATCAAGGCCCAAGAAGAGGGAGAGCTGTCAATCTCTAGAAGCTGCTTTGGGAGTGGTCAGATGGGGCACCAGGTCAAGAAGTGCCCTAATAAGGGAAAAGGCATGAGGGCAGAAAACGAACCTGGATTGTGCCCAAGATGCAAGAGAGGGAAGCATTGGGCTAATGAATATAATGAAAGAAGGATGCCCAGTGGAATCCACTGCAGGAAAATGGGCAGAGGGGCCCACCCCAGTTCCTGAGACAATGTTATGGGGCACTTCAGCAGTTTGTCCCTCCGCAAGGAAATGCATTCAGGACAGAGCAACCCCAGGCAGTGCAGGATTGGACCTCAGTACTTCATCTACACAGTTTTAACTCCCAAAATGGGGTGCAAGCTCTCCCTATTAGTGTTTATAGGCCTTTACTGAAAGGCACTGTAGGGTTATTGCTGGGGAGGAATAGTACCACCATGCAGAGGGTCTTTGCTGCTCCCAGAGTGATTGACACTGATTATAAAGGAGAAATCTGGGTTATGACTCACTCACCTAATGGAATTTCTGTGGTAAAGACAGGCCAGAGACTTACACAATTCATTTTTACTTCCTCAAGTACAAACAAGAAATCACATTTTAAAAGGTAAGAGAGGAGAGGCTGGATTTAATTCATCTAATGCCTATTGACTGCAAGCTGTAGGTCCACAGTGCCTCGAACTCACTTTGTTTATAAATGGTAAGAGCTTTTCTAGCCTCCTAGACACTGGTGTGAATGTGTCTGTTATTACTGCCAAGCAATGGCCTTCAATGTGGCCAAAGCTGGAGACTGTTACACAGCTGCACGGGATTGGTCAAACTCAGAGTCCTGAGCAGTGTAGCAATGAACTTTCCTGGGAAGATGAGGAAGGTCATGAAGGAACTTTTCGGCCATACATTGTTTCACATTTGCCTGTAAATTTGTGGGGTTGAGATGTTATGAGCCGAATGGGAGTGTATTTATAGTCCCAATGCATTTTTGTTAAACAAATGTTTCAACAAGGACTGTTATCTGATTAGGGGTTAGAAAGAAACAATGACAGCCAAGTATCACCCTTGCTTCCTCAAGAAAGGTCTGATAGAGCTGGATTAGGGTATATTTTAGGAGGGGCCATTGAACAGCCTGTACTCCATGCAGATCCTATAACTTGGAAATCTGATGACCCTGTGTGGGTGGATCAATGGCCCCTAACAGATGAAAAGATACAAGCTGCCCAGCAGTTAGTACAGAAACAGATGGATGATGGCCATATTGTACCCTCTAATTCTCCCTGGAATTCTATTTTCCTGATTAAAAAGAAATCTGGAAAATGTAGATTATTACAAGATTTAAGAAAAATTAATGGGACCATGTAGCTAATGGGAGCTTTGCAGGCTGGATTGTCTTCTCATACAGCCATAACAAAGGATACCTATAAAATTATTTTAGATTTAAAGGATTGTTTTTATACTATCCCTTTGGCTCCCCAAGATTGTCAAAGATTTGCATTTAGTGTTCCATTGGTTAATTTTAAAGAGCCCATGAAGAGATATCATTGGAAAGTTTTGCCTCAGAGTATGGCCAATAGTTCCACATTGTGCCAGAAATTTGCTGCTCAGCTGGGCAATGGTAGCACATGCCTTTAATCCCAGCACGTGGGAGGCAGAGCCAGGTGGATCTCTGTGAGTTCAAGGCCAGCCTGGGCTACAGAGTGAGTTCCAGGAAAGGCACAAAGCTACACAGAGAAACCCTGTCTTGAAAAAGTAAAAAAAAAAAAAAATGGTGGCTCAGGCTATACAAAATATTAGAGATCAATTTCTTCAAATTTATATTACTCATTATACAGATGATATTTTGCTTGCCCATAAAACAGAAGTTTTGCTTGCAACATATGAACAGCTTCATCAGGGCTGTTGGGATCAGAATGGTTCTGACCCCTCTAAGATTGCCTTCACCTCCCCTGTTCTGAGTGCGCTGAGGTCAGTGCTATTCTGCAGATGTTTTGCTGTTTGGTATATCTCGTGGTTTGGCAGCTGTGGCTTCCTGGGGCATGCTGACCTTTCCTTGACCCTGGGTGCTTGATAAACAATTTTGTTTGTTCCTCCTGAAAGGGTATATAAGATGGAGAAGAAAGAATAAAGCGAGTCCTGATGCTTGCAACTTGACTTGGTGTGTGCTGTGTTCATCCCGACTTCCCTCGCCAGGTTTCGGGCCCAATTGCTGTGCAGGTGTGGCAAGGGCCTTGCCCATTCAGGGTTATTAATTGCCCCAGAGAAAGTACAAAGACAGCTGCCTTTTCAGTATTTGGGACATATTTTGTATCCTAAAGAAATTAAGCCTCAGAAACTGGAAATTAGAAAAGATATCTTGCAAACTTTGAATGATTTTCAAAAATTATTGGAGGATATTCAGTGGCTGTGGCCCTACTTAAGATGTTGTCTACAAGAGATCTTGAGCCCCTCAGTGAGATTCTTAAGGGGAATAGTGATCCCCATAGGTATCTTACAGATGCTGCTAGACAAGTACTGGCTCAGATAGAGCATGCCATTCAACATCAGCAAGTACACTATGTTAACTATGAGAGACCATGGGAAATTTATGTGCTTCCTACACCACATACTCCAACAGCTGTGTTATGGCAAGATGGGCCATTATTGTGGTTGCATCTGCCTGTCTTCCCAGCCCAGGTGTTGAACCCTTATTATGAAGCAGTAACTTGTTTAGTAGAGAAAAGCCAGATAGAATCTAGGTAATATTTTGGTAAAGAACCAAATGTGATTGATGTTCCTTTTACAACAAGTTGATTGGCTATTTAAAAATAATGATTCTTGGACAATTGCTTTTTCTCAGTTTTGGGGCTAAATTTATAATCATTTTCCAGCTGATCAATTGTTGTAGTTTGCCCAAATGCATTCCTTTATATTTCTTAAAGTTGTGATGAAAGGTCCTATAAAAGATGTTGTGCTGGTTTTTACTGATGCTTCTTCCAATGGAAGAGCTGCTTACATTATCAATGGTAAAGGTTATATAGTCCAAACAACCCTAGCTTCAGCTCAGATAGTAGAATTATGAGCTGTAGCTATGGTTTTCCAGCATTTTGTAAATAGTTCATTTAATTTGTATACTGGTAGTTATATTTTTAGAGCCCTTCAAGTTATAGAGACTGTTCCCTGCGTTGGGACTAGTAATGGTCATGTTAGGAGGCTGTTTCAGCAAATTCAAGAAGCCATTCATCAAAGAAAGTTGCCATGCTTTGTGGGTCATATTAGGGCTCATTCCAGCCTTCCTGGCCCTCTAGCTGACGGTAATGCATCAGCTGGTAAATTAACACAGATGGCCACCTTGTCTCAGGGAGAATATGCTCAACAGTCACATTCCCTTCATCATCAGAATAGCAGAAGTTTAAGAAAACAATTTGGCCTTACCAGGGAGTTGCTCATCAGATTGTTAAGCAATGTGATGTGTGCCTACAGTATTTGCCTGTGTCTCACTTAGGGGTAAATCCTTGAGGCCTTCTTCCTAATCATTTATGGCAAATGGATGTTACTCATGTTGTGGAATTTGGCAAATTAAAATATGTGCATGTGATAGTTGATACCTATTCAGGGTTTTTGATGGCCACTGCACAAATTGGGAAGGCTAACAAGCATGTGATAGCTCATTGCTTAAATTTTTTTCATATATGGGGATTTCTAAAATTATAAAAATGGATATTAAGTCGGGATATATTAGTAAAGCATTTCAGCAATTTTGTTCCCAATGGAAAATTGAGCATAAAACAGGCACTCCTTATAATCTTCAAGGACAAGGTATTGTTGAACGAGTCCATGGTAGTCTCAAGATGCAGCTTCAAAAAATAAAAAAGGGGGAGTTATATCCTCAGTCACCACATAATGCATTGAATCATGCCCTCTTTATTTTAAATTTTTGAATGTGGATGCCCATGAGCAATTTGCCATGGATAGATTTTGGCATGATGGCACTCAAGTGACTTTTGTTCAGGTGAAATGGAAGGATCTTTGCACTGGATTATGGAAGGGGCCTGGCCCTGTTTTGATATGGAGTCGAGGGCATGTTTGTGTTTTTTCACAGGAAGAAAATGAAGCTCAATAGCTGCCTGAGTGCTTCGTGTAGTTTGTGGAACAGAGGAATGCTGACCCAGATGATATTGTGGCTGCTGATGTTCCCCCAGAGGAGTTGGAGTGAGATTTACTGAACCTATGTTCCTGATCCTCCAATGTTACATCCTGTGCAGTCTGGGCAGGGAAGGAGATTATGGTGACTGTTGGTGATTCTCAGCTTCTTGATAGACCTGCTGCACTAATTTCCCAGACCTCTGTGAATTTTAATTATTCTGGATCTGGCCAAGGAATGCCTATCTGTTTTTCCAAAAATGAATCTGTGACTGGGTGTTTGGCCATTTATCCACACTATATCTTGGGACTCAGAGATCACCTTTGCCAGTATAGTGTTCATCTGCTGTTGCCCAGAGGAAATAGAAGGCCTGGAGAATAGCTGCCTCAGAGATTCTCCCTCTGTGGGAAAGAGACTCGTTGGAGCAGTCAAACACTATTATGGAGGCAATGTGTGGCTAAAGCCCCTCTTCAGTATAATATCACTGGAATTCAGAGATATGTGCTAGACTGGCTAGGAAACTAATTGGAGATACTGAAGAGAATCCCCGAAATGATGAGGAGGAGTGGGGTAAAGGTTTTGCTGCTGGTTTTTGGTACTCGGGACTGGAGCAGCTCACACATATCTTTGGAAGTTGGTATCAGCAATGCATTGGATTTTAGGAGAGGGAAAAGAAAAGGTTCAGAATTATGGAGTTACTCATACCTCACCTACCACAAAAACATTTTCTTGCCCCTTGATTGGATCGAAGTTACGAGAATTGTAACCAATTGTGTGTCCATTGTTAATAATCATACTAGAATTATGGTGTTAATCTGTTAATGTTTGTAACCTCTTCTGTTCACAGTGAAAGTGTTACTGGATAGAAAAAGGTTAGTACTCATCTGAGACAAATTTGGTATGAGTATGACAAGGATGCTAATGAGTCCTTAGATTTGATGTGGTTGCATCAGGAAATTACTGATTTTAAAAAGGCAAAGTTGGATTTTGATGCAGCTAAAACTGCTGAAGACATCCTGGACCAATTTTAAAAGGCCATTCCATCTTGGTCATCCTTTACTCTCTTATTAGGAAGTATTGCAGCCATAGTAGCATGTGTATTGCTAGGCATTATTTGCCTATGATTATCAAGTTAACTTGTGAGCTCTGTGGAAAGTTGGTTCGGAGCTGCACCAAGCTCCACGCCCTCTCTTGAGATTTTTCAGAGGCTGGTAGTCAAAGACAGGTAAGTCCTTTTTACCACCTTTCAACCTAAGACAGGGCATGTGCCAAAGACGGGTAAGACTGGATGGTTGAAAAAGGCATCCTAAGACAGGCACAGTCATCTGAGGGGTCTGGGGGACCTTTTTTAAAAAAAGGGAATTGTGGGAGCCCAAAGTGACTCTACCTTGTGGCTTGATTCCATCTTGACTTAAAGTCAGAGAGTTCAGGCTTGTTTTTGCTCCTTAAGGCTGAATAACAGGATGATGGCCAAAGGCATGGTTACTAGATATTTTGTTCCTCAAGGCCAAATAACAGGTTGATTGACCAAAGGCGTAGTTATTAGATGTTTTGAGAATTAAAGAGGTGTTTACACTTGTTTGTTCTTTGAACCTTGGTAAGGACGTTTTTTTGCCCACCCCACCTCCTGCTTTGGGTATAAAAAGGCTATGAGAAATAAATTCAGGGCTGCTGCAGTATTCACTAAGAGCCCTCCTGATTCTAACTTTGTCTCTTGTCTCTTTCTTTCTTTATTCTCACTCCCTTATTCAGGTACTATTCAACAGGTCAGCTGGTCCTGACAGTCTATATAGTGAGTTCTACACCAATCAGTGCTACACAGACCCTGTCTCAAAAGACAACAGCAACATAGGCATGAGCAAACACTTTCTGAGTAGGACTCCAATAGCACAGGAAATAGCCCTAAAGAATTGACAAATAAAATTGTATGAAATCAAAACCTTCAGCATAGCAAAGGGAAGAGTCACCAAAATGATCAGATTCCAGAACAGGAAAAATTCTTTGCCAGCTATGCTTCAGAAATTAATATCTAGGTAGAAACAATATCTGCCAAGAATGTATAGAAAAACTACAAAAAAATTATGCCAGGTGGTGGTGGCACATGCCTTTAATTCCAGCACTCAGGAGTCAGAGGCAGGTGGTCTCTGTGAGTTCAAGGCCAGCCTGGGCTACAGCGTGAGTTCCAGGAAAGACTTCAGAGCTACACAGAGAAACCCTGTCTCAAAAACCCAAAAATAAAAAAAAATTTAAAAACTACAAAAAATTAAACACAAAACTGCCAATCAATAAATGGGCTAATGAACAGTTCTCAAAGAAGAAACAAGGTGACCAATAAATATTTTTCCTGATAAGCATGGGAGTTTTGACCTCCATTTTCAACCTGGGCCAGTTTACCCCTCCTTAGGCAACCTGGTAGTCCCCCAGGAAGTCACCTGGTCAAAGTAGTGCACTACAGCCCAGAACTCCTGGACTCTATGTGATCCTTCTGCCTCAGCCTCAAGTAGCTGGGCTTAGAGGTATGCACTACCACACCTGTACCAATAAATATTTTTAAAAACATTCAGCATCTTTTTCAGTGAGGAAATGCAAATTAAATTAAAACCATTTTGGGATTCTATCTTATTGAAGTCAGAATGACTATCTCGAAAACAAGGCTGCTGGAGAAATGACTCAGTGGGTAGAAGTGCTTATTGCTCTTACAGAGAACCCAGGTTCAATTCTGAACATCCATGTGGTGGCTTAGAACTTCCTGTAACTCCGGTTCCAGGGGATCTGATTCCTCTTCTGACCTCCGCAGGCTCATACACACACATGATGCTCATACATACATTCAAGCATACACATAAATTTTTATTATTATTACTTGAGACAAGGTATCTCTGTAACCCTGGCTGTCCTAGAATTCAATATATATACTTCTACTATTCCCAGCTTTAAAATTAAATATATTTTAAATCAAAGGAGGTATAAGAGTGAGTGCCTGCAATACCAGCACTTGGTCGGCAGAAATTAAGAGGATCATTGTGAGTTTGAGATTCCAGTCAGCGTGGGCATTGATAAAAGTCCCTGTCAGAGAAAGAGATGGAAAAGGAGAGGGAGGAAGAAAAGGACATACACACAAAGCAAAATATTGGGAGGTGATGTAACTCAGTGGTAGTCTTGCCAATCACATACAGAGCCCTCCTTTCAAAAATCAGCACCCAAAATAAAACTACCACCATTCCCTCAAAACAAAAACTAATGTGTTACTTATATATAATTAGAAATGCTTCTCAGTTGTTCTCTGCAGAGCTTCATCAGTACTGCTAGGGTGTTGAGAAGCAGCCACCAAACCTGAGAGATTTCTTGGTACAGATTTCTGGGAAGATAGTAGTTGGGAATTAAAGGTATACCACACAATCCTACAGGCCAACCAGTCATAGAAAGATCAAATCAAACTCTAAAGGATATGTTAAAGAAACAGAAAAGAGTAATAAAGATCCCCATAAATAGATTACATAATACTTCATTAACTTTGAATTTTCTCAGTGCTAATGAGAAAGGAACAACAGCTGTGAAAAACATTGGATAATAGAAAAAAGTACAGAATTAAATCAGTCTGTATACTTTAAAGATGTGCTGACCTCAGAATGGAAACCAGGGTATGTATTACACTGGGGAATAGGCTTTGCTTTTGTTTCCATGAGAGAAGAAAAAAGCTATGGATACCATTAAAATTGATAGTGGTTTGATTTGAACAAGAGAGACTTCTTTTTGTTTGTTTGTTTTTGTTTTTGTCTTAAAAAAAAACAAAGAAAAAAAAAGAGATGATAGTTCATCAACCAACATGACCATTCGATGTAATTTAATTTATACGACTAAGAAAAGCTTTTCATTTGATCAGATATAACTTGCCAGAAGGGAACCTTCCCGAAGTTAAAGTTGGGGAAGGGTTTTGTTTTTGTCTTTCAGGACAATGAAGGCAATCCAGGAATCTGAAGACCACTAGACAAATGAGACATCTGAAGAAAAAAGACAAATCATCCAGAAAAAAAAAAAATGTCCCATGAAAAAGATTTTCTGCAGTGATCCATGACTACGTCTAATGGCAACTTTGAAGTCTCCAAAAGGATGATGGAACCCCATAACAATGATATCACCATTAAGCTGACAAACACCACCCAAAGATTGGCTTTGGACTACAAACTACTCAGGACAATATCAAGATGCCTAGCTGAGATGATACAGCTTCACAGACTACTCCAATTAGGACTTGACCATAATCCTAAATTTTCTTTGTGTCCCCATAAGACTACCAGTGTTCCCAATCAGCAGGAAGTAGCCTAGTAAACTATGCCCACATTCCCAAAAAATGAATTAATGAATGTTTGTCTTTGTTTAGGGATTTGTTAAGAATTGTTATTAGTCACCGTCAATCTCTTTCTAAAAGAAGAAAGGAGAATATGATATATAAATGTATCATATAGAAATGATAGGATAAAAAGATAGATTATTGAAATCTACTCAAAAAAAAGATATAGAGCTGGACAGTGGTGGTGCACAACTTTAATCCCAGCACTAGGGAGGCAGAGGCAGGTGGATCTCTGTGAGTTCAAGGCCAGCCTGGTCTATAGAGTGAGTTCCAGGATAGGCTCCAAAGCTACACAAAGAAACTCTGTCTCAACCCCCACCCCAAAAAAAGATATAGAAATAATAGGATAAAAGATAGATTATTAGGATCTAAGATGGCGACTGTGGAACCGGAAACCACCCCTACTACTAATCCCCCACCTGTGGAAGAGGAAAAAACAGAATCTAATCAGGAGGTTGCCAACCCAGAGCACTATATTAAACACCCTCTACAAACCAGGTGGGCACTCTGGTTTTTTAAAAATGATAAAAGCAAAACTTGGCAGGCAAACCTTTGATTGATCTCTAAGTTTGATACTGTTGAAGACTTTTGGGCTCTATACAACCATATCCAGTTGTCAAGTAATTTAATGCCTGGCTGTGACTACTCACTTTTTAAGGATGGTATTGAGCCGATGTGGGAAGATGAGAAAAACAAGCGGGGAGGACGATGGCTAATTACATTGAACAAACAGCAGAGACGAAATGACCTCGATCGCTTTTGGCTAGAGAGACTGCTGTGCCTTATTGGAGAATCTTTTGATGACTACAGCGATGATGTATGTGGAGCTGTTGTTAATGTTAGAGCTAAAGGTGATAAGGTAGCAGTATAGACTACTGAATGTGAAAACAGAGACGCAGTCACACACATAGGGAGGGTATACAAGGAGAGGTTAGGACTTCCTCCAAAGATAGTGATTGGTTACCAGTCCCACGCAGACACAGCTACAAAGAGCGGCTCCACCACTAAAAATAGGTTTGTTGTTTAAGAAGACACCTGAGTGTTCTCACAGGAGACTACGTCACGCAATCGAGATTGGGAGCCTCATCCAAGCAGAGTGGACTGCACTGAAGTTTGATTCCATCTAAATGTTGCTAAGATATAAGAGAAGTCTCATTCGCCTTTGTCTTGTACCTCTGTGTTCATTTCTCCCCCTCCCCCTGCCCCCAATTTTTGCTAATGTGTCCACTATCCCAATCAAAGAATTACAGTATACGTCACCCCAGAAACCGCAGATGTGTTCCTGGCCCACACCGTACCAGCTGGTTAGAATTACCATGATGCACACATTTGCCTTTCCACAGTATTCGAAAAAGAACTTGCATTTCTGTTACCTTAGCAGGAAAAGATCTGTTTCCGTTCCACTCTGTGCAGGAGCGTGTTTTGCTGGTGAGAGTCTGAGTACAGTTTTCTAGCAACCTCGTTTGCTTTCCCAGCATTCTCTTTGCTGTCCTCTTGCTGATGGCTGCTAGAATTTATTTGCTTCCCTCCTTGATAACATTAGTGATTCTAATTTCAGTTTTTCATTTGTTTTGCTTTTGTTTTTTTTCCTCATGTAACATTGGTGAAGGATCCAGGAATATGACAGAACGGTGGAATAAACATTAAATTTGTGCATTCTTTGGTAATTTTTTGGTTTTTTGTAACTACAAAGCTTTGCTACAAATTTATGCATTTCATTCAAATCAGTGATCTATGTCTGTGTGATCTCTAAACATAATTGTGGACTATAAAAATGTAACACCGTAATTACATTCCTAACTAGAATTAGTATGTCTGCTTTTGTATCTTTATGCTGTACTTTAACACTTTGTATTACTTAGGTTATTTTGCTTTGGTTACAAATGGCTCAAGTAGAAAAGCGGTCCCATTCATATTAAGACAGTGTACAAAACTGTAAATGTGTATAGTGATTGTCTTTTAGACAAAAAAAAGATAGATTATTAAATCTACTCTGAAAAGAAAAAGGGGAGGATATAGATATAATAAGATAAAAAAGTAGATTGAATCTACTTTTAAAAAGCAACTACTAGTTTTAAATATTTTACATTGGACTGGATTTTTGTATATTGTATACAAGTTTTTTATATTGATACAAATTTGAGATTATTTTTGTTGGAACATACTGTACATATATTTCTACTCTTATTCAAGGTATTGTACCTATACAGCTCATTTAACAATGTAATGCAAAGTGCTAGTCCTTGAAAGTTGTTATTATATATTATATATATGTATATATATATTAATTAACTACTTAATTAATTAGTTAATATAACCAACTAATCAATATATAAAGAAATGCAAGTTAGTAG